CCCGCGTGGGGGTGTGGGGCGCGGCGCGCACGCCTGTCGCTGCGCAGGGGACCGGGCGCGAGCCGGGGGCCGGGCTTGCCCGGGAGTAGGGCTCTGAGCCCGAGACCTCAGCTTTGCTCGCTGCGGTCGCGTGCGTTTCCTGCTGGTGGGTTTATCGCCTCCCTGTTGTACCGGAGCGTGAGGCCCGCCGGGGGCTAGCGGAGGGAGCCCGGTCCAGGCTGCATTGCTGAAGGCTGTGCGGATGAGGTGAAGGGGGCAGTGAGATCTGGGTGGGGCTGTTTTACTTCGATACAGGGTCTCCTAAGTAGTCTGGGCTGGCCTTGGACTGGATATGTAGCTCAGACTCGCCTTGAATTGGGTATATGGCCTAGACTGGCTTCAAATTGCGATTCTCCTGCCTCAGCCTCCCCGGTGCTGGGATGAGAGGCTACCACGTGTGCTACCACGCCAGGCTTAGTTCTGGACCCTTACTGCACCACCTTTTATGATGAAAGCTAGATCTGAGCGATGAAACTCTTTCTGGGGATTTTGTGATAATTTTTCTGGCGTGGACATAGAAGGCGTTTCTCTTATGATGTTATCTTAGTAGTGGTTTTTGTTATTTCATCCAGCGTTTTGGGGAGTGTGGTTATGCAGTGTTCTTATTGGTGTGCTGGCTTCCTCTCAGGCTGTGGTCTTAAAGATTGAAGTGTTTATTAGAGAACCGAGATCACGTGTGCCAGTGAAGAATACATTTTAGGTGTTCTTGACTGATGACTAATTGAAGCTGGTATCTTTTTGTTTTTGTTTTGACGCAGGATCTTGCTGTGTAGTCCAGGCCGGACTGGAACTCACTGTATAGTCCAGGCTGGCCTCGAACTCTCAGCGATCCTCCTGCCTCAGCTTCATGAGTGCTGGAATTCCAGGAGGGCACCACCACACCGGGCCAGAAGATGGCAACTTTTAAAATGTGTATTAATACGGGCTGGGGATTTAGCTCAGCGGCACAGCACCTTCCTGGCAAGCGAAACGTCTTGAGTTCAATTCCCGGTACCAGCAAAAAAACAAAGCAAACAAACAAAAAAATGTGTGTTAATGTAGTTGAGGTTTTTAAGTGTTTTACATATATGCAGCGTTCCCACTGGGCACACGATGTCAAAAACAATGCCTACAAGTATAAATATTATGGCAAAAGGATACCTTTCTAGAGGGTTCTGTGTACTTTGTAATCACTGGTTTACCCCTCTCCGTCATTCTGGGTTAGTTTTACTGTGAGGTAGGTAAAAAGTTGCCTTTTAACTTGTGGCTAGAAGACAGAGGCAGAAAGGTTGTGATTTTCCCAAGGTCATTTGTGAGCAGGTAGTGAGTGGGACTGGCCTGGGCCGGAATCCCTGTGTTGGTACTTGTGTTTGGTTGCAGTCTTGGGGCTGCTGCTGTCTCAGTATCTGGCCGTGCACAGGACTGTGTCCTGGGACTCTCTGGTGACCCTCAGGTGCGTGTGTTGTTCATTGTGGATGGCCGGTTGCTGGCCGCTGCTCTCAGGTTTACTGGCCTGGATAGGCACTACAGACGTGGTTGTGTCGTCTTTCCCCGTGTTGCTTTCTGTCACTGTGACAGACCCCCTGTGTGTAGTGTTGTCTGAAAACAAAATATACACTGCGTCATGTGAGTCATCTTCTTCTGAGCAGAAACATAGTGTAATCCCACATAATCAGACTAGTATTTCACACTAATATCTAGATACAAGTTATTATTAGTGAAACCCTGTCTCAAAATCAAAACTAGAGTGTCGGGCATGGTGGCGTATGCCTGTAATCCTAGCAGTCGGGAGGCTGAGGCAGGAGGATTGTTGTGAGTTCAAGACCAGCCTGGGCTACAAAGTGGCTACAAGGCCAGCCTGAACTGCATATTGAGACCTTGTCTCAAAAAGACCCCCCCCCAAAAAAAAAAATCAAAACTAGAAAGGGCTGGGGATGTAGCTTGGAGGTAGAGCACTCCTGGGTTTGGTTGGTCTCCAGTAGTGGAAAAAAAATTGCAGTTGGGAGTGTGGAAGAGGAGCTTATATTTCAATTGTCTTTGTTTCAAATACAATATTAAGCCTAAATTTCAAGCTATGGTGACTGATATGGCCCTTTAGACCAGACTAGTGGTTTACGTTGTTGAAATCGTTCTTTCTTTCTCTCTGTCTCTCTTTCTTTCTTTCTGTCTGTCTGTGTTGAGACAGGGTCTCGCTATACAGTTCAGGTTGGCCTTGAGCTCGCTTTGTAGCCCAGGCTGGTCTCAAACTCATAACTATCTCCTGCCTCAGCCTCATGAATGCTGGGATTACAGGTGTGTGCTACTACGCCTGGCAAACCATTTACAGTTTTCAAGTTTTTTATTAGTACATTTGCAGTACTTGATAATTACCTTCATCTGGGGAGTTAATGCACCTACATAACACATCCTATTTCCTGTGACGTTTCCCTTCACTGTCCTCGTCCTCCTTTCATCTCTTGGCCTTTCTACTTGAAACATGTTCGTTTGAATCAGAGGCCGGAGGGACTGAAATAATCAGTTCACATAAATACGGCACTTGTAACATGAATATTCCTTGTTTAATAACTTACTGTTTAACAACTGTTTGGACTTACAACATGCTGCTCAGACTTGTGACTGTCTTTTCTTTTTAATACAGCTCTGTACATCTTGTTTATAGAGCCTCAGTGCTTTTTTGTAATATACCTTACTTATACGGTATTGTAATTTTTGCTGATTGTACTGTAGTGTTATGTTGTGCTATACATAACAGTATTGCATGTACGGGTTATGCAGATAAAAGCAAAGTCATCAAATTGGAGTTTTCTTTGACCATTTCTTTGTTCTAAATGTTGTAATGTGCACACTATGTACAATTTCTCAGTTAGTGACCAATTCACCTAGTGACCTAGTTGCAGAAGTGTAACTCGGTTGTTAAACAAGGGATGAATGTAGTTTATTCTGTTCTCCATCGTCGTTTCTCTCCCTTCCCTGCGTATCTCCTTTTCTCCCTGCCCTATTCCCTTTCTCTCTTCCCTCTGTGCTGGGGATGAATATAGGAAGCTGCATAGTGAGAAATGCTAGGCAAGTGTTCTACCACTGAGCTACATTTCCAGTCCTATTTTCAAATCATCTAAATATTGGAATTCCAAATGCATCGATTCCTTATCATTTTGACAAACTAGATTTCATTTTATTTAATTTGATTCCACTGCAGTGGTTTATACATTATCTCAAAATGAGCAGTTCCAGGATTCTAATTAAAAAAAAAAACTTTATCATTTTCCAGTTTGTCATCTCACTGTTGAATAGATTACTTTCTATTCCAGAGCGTGAATACAAATGCCAGAGTTTTGAGCAAGAAATGTTTTCCTGCTGGGCTCAGTGACACATGCATGCAATTCCAGCACTTTTGATACTGAGGCAGGAGGATCACAAATTTAAGCCTGGCCCAGGAACCTTGTCTCAAAATAAAAAGGGCTAGGGATGTAGCTCAGTGGTAGAGTGCTCCTGAGCTTGTTCCTCAGTATCACATACAAAAACAGTTCTTTTTTTTTTTTTTTTTTTTTCCTTTTTGAGGCAGGGTCTCACTATGCAGTTCAGGCTGGCCTTGAGCTCACTTTGTAGCCCAGGCTTGTCTCAAACTTGTAACAGTCCTCCTGCCTCAGCCTCCTGAGTGCTGGAATTACAGGGGTGCGCCACCACACCCGGCATACAAAAACCCTTCTAACTAGAGGAGCTGTTTCACCTAGAGGGAACACCCATTACTCCTGCATCACATACTGCACCATTCCTGAGAGCAGCAGTAACTTCAGCAAGAGTCACAGTCACTGGATGGCTTGTGTTGTTAAACCCATCCCTGGTGTTGCTGATCCTGTAGGTCAGAGGTGTGTTTGGAAATTTGAATTTCAAAAACTTCTCGAGAGCTGCTGCCATCTACCCTTGTCCCGGCAGAGCTCTGAGGGCGCCTTAGGAAGGCACCTGAGCCTGGAGGTGGGGTGGATGCCAGGGCTCACCTGCTTTCCTGCTGAAGCCCAGCATCAGCCAGCCGTATCGCAGCATTGTAGCTAGTACGTAATTGACCAGTATTTTTCTTTTAGATGATATTATAGTTAAGATTGCATTTTTAATTATAGTGTTACTTTCATTTTTCTTCAATCCTGTAGTTCTAAATTTCTTGAGAGAGTCGGGTATTGTTTTGGTAGTGGGGATCAAATGCAAGGCCTTGCCCTTGTGAATCCCCCCCCTACGTTTGAGCCACTGCCCAAGTTTATTAATACAAGTCACCCATGTTTCTTTTCTTTTTTTCCTCTCCTTTCCTTTTCCTTCCTTCCTTCCTTCCTTCCTTCATCCCTCCCTCCCTTCCTTCCTTCCTTCCTTCCTTCCTTCCTTCCTTCCTTCCTTCCGTCTACCAGGGATTGAACCCAGGGTCTTCCCACTGAGCTACATGCCCAGACTTTTTTTATTTCTTATTTTAAGATAGGGGCTTGCTCAATCATGAAGTTGCCCAGGCTGGGCTTGAACTTGTGATCCTCCTCCCTCAGTCTCGTAGAGCACCAGGATTACAAGTATGCACCATTCCTTAAAGAAAGTTAATAAGAAAACACACACATACACACACACACACACACTCTCTCTCACAGACACAAAACCCAAAACAAAACAAAGAAAACAAAGTTTCAAATCCCTGTAACCCCATAGGCTTCTTAGGCGTCCTTCTGCTCACTGTTTCCTCTCAATAACATGATCTCATGTTTTCTCTTGCTTTTAATATTAGGTTGTAAGTATCTTTTTTTTTTTTTCCTTTTTGTTGCCTTTTTGAGACAGGGTCTTGCTATGCAGTTCAGGCGGGCCTTGAGCACACTTTGTAACCCAGGCTGGTCTCAAACTTGCAATGATCCTCCTGCCCCAGCCTCCCAAGTGCTGGGATTATAGGCATGTGCCACCAGGCCCAGCTCATTTGTTTTTATGTTTTCCAACAGCATTCTCCTTTGAGCATCCCAGTTTGCACTTTGGGCCATGGGCCTGGGTTGTGGCTTCTGAAGACTGCACTGTCACTCAGGGTCCTGGCATGGTCACAGCTCTGTTGTCGCCTGGCCCAGGCTCACGGTCCTTCCACCCTGCATTGGTCGTGTCCATGCTACCTCTTCTCCATATCCTGAGTGGGTTTTTTCCTTCAGGCCTGATTTGACAGTGATTTGCACTCGGCACCCTGCGTGACGGTGACTTAGGAAGCCCCCGACCTACTT